TATATATATATATATATATAAATATCAAAGTAAGAAGAGCGGAATGATTAGATCAAAATGCATAAAGTAAAAAAATAAGACGTCTAATTTAGTAACGACATAAAGATAATAAATAAACCATCATAAAAATAACTTGCTTTTGTCCGCAAATTTCCGGGTTCGTGTCTTATCTGCGTCTGATATGTCGTTAGTAGGAAACAACCGTTATCTCCGCCACCGCATCCACTTCATCCGGTCGATTCCTTTGCGATAACAGCCGCGTAGAGCAGCGTCGCGGAAGCTACGCTCCAATTTACATGACGTTACGTCGCGCAGCCGTAGCGCATGTTAATTGAGACTAGATCGAGTCGCTTCATTTCCACGTTGGCGACGCGATTCATCATTATGCGAATTATGTATTCAAATTTTGAGGAGTTTAGGTTTAGATTCTCTTAAAAGCCCCACCTTATTATGCAACTTTAGATAAGAGATCTCGTTCTTTTCTTGTGTGTGTATATGTGTGTGTGTGTGTGTGTGTGTGTATGCATAAAATTGCATTTTAGTCGAAAGCTTGTGATTGAAAGAAGGGCAATATTTTGTTCAAAAGAGTTAAATGCCTTTTTTCAATAATATATATATTTAGTAATATATAAACGCGTAAGAATGCGTAATCTCTCGAGTTTCGTACGTCACGCGATGTATAAATGAAAATATCAAAAAGTTGAAATTAATATTACAAGTTTAAAACTCTCGCGAAGCATATGCCAACTACAGAATTTTATTTCTATCATAATGTCGGACTGCTAAGTGCAGAAACGTTCGCGTGGAGCAATAATTTTTTGCTTGAAGCGTAATCCCTATGGAATGCGAATCATTTTTTGTAAGAAGACAGAGATCTATTGTCTCTTCGTAGCATTAATGTTACAAGAACTTGAAGAATGTTAAAGATGGCCGGTATACGGAATCTACCCCATTGCTTTTTCTTTTTCAAGGGGATATAGACTTAAGAATATGAGTATATACTTTGTTTTTAAAATAAAACCTGTAATTTTATCAAGTATCTGACTTTGTTTATTCTTGACGTGAAAAAGCAGCTCAAAGTTTCCAATTTCTTACAACGTTTAAAAAAAAGAATTACGTAGATTTATATATAATATTTAAAATTTGCGGAGATTTTCTACATATTAATATTCAAAAGTAATATATAATATATACAAATGGCAAGCATTTGTAAAGATGGCACATTATTTCGTGGAAACTCATAAAATATTAAGAATTACAACTTTAATTTTCTTTTCCAATAGTTCTACAGAGTTCTCTACTTTAAACAAATAATACTTAAATAAAAAAAAAAAAAATTGTGCCTTGGAATTGTAATAACGTAATTTACAAACGTTACTATGTTTGTAATAACGTTTGCTCATCATTATATATATATATATATATACAACGTAATTCTATTTTAATCGATATTTTTTGCTTTTAAAAGGCAAACGTTTTTCTAGAATTTATATGGAATTATAAATCTTTTAACAAGAAACGCGATAAAGAAAATTTTGCAGAACAAAATAACACGTTACGTAAGTTTGTCCTAAAACATTTTCTTCGAATCAGAATAAAGTAGAATATTTGTTTAAACTATTAATAATTATACACTTATTGAAAATAAAACTTGAACTTTTAATAATTTATGAGTTTCTATGAAATTATATTCCAGCTTCATATATACAAATAACAGTGCTTTGCTTTTTATTTAAGTATAAATGGATTGGACTCATAGCAATTTATAATTTATAATTTAATAAAAAAATGAAACTATAATATCGAGAAATGAAAACGTATGTGAAATAATAAATTCAAATAAATTACATATATTTCAATATTTGAAAAGAGAAATAAATAAATAAACTTCAATTTCTTCATAAAATTTAGTAGAGAGGAAGCGCACAATTTCTGAGAGAGAAATATTCTCACATATTTTTTCATATTTCAATATCTCATCTCGATAATGAAAATAGAATTCTGTTAAATAATATTTCTGATTTTTATTGTAAGATTGATTATCGCAATACGTGAATATAATATTACTTATACCAACCTTCTGAGAGTAAATCCGAAATTTTATTGCAACCCTGCGAGACTCGTACAATAGTGAAAACAACGCAACTGCCTCTGAAACGTGTATAACATCGCATTATATTGCAGCTTGTAAAGTGTAAACCAGAACAAGTTCTCTCATTTTTTCTTGTTAGCCATCGGACTATTGTGTAATAGCCCAAAGGATTCCCTTGCCTGCTGGCGGCCCTGTAACTTGCTTTACTCGTTCGACAACATGTCCAGAAGATCTTGATACTCTGTGATGCAATATTCGTTACGTGTTTTGCGATAAGCTGGAGCACGTGTCAAATTAGATTTTCGACATGTTGACAATTCTATCTTAGTTACGGTGGAATAAAATTAAAAATGTATCTCTGTCTAGAAGTTTCAAGAGAAATCTTTTAACGTGATTGAATCTTTATGTTTGCGATCGCGAAGTAAAAAGCTTCGAAAATTAAGAACCCCGATTAAACTGTTACGTACAAACTGCTCTGCGCTATCAATAATACATACAAACCACAATTAAAGATTATTAATTTGTGACAAAGTATACATTATTATTATTACATATAAATATATTAAGAAACTTGTTGCAAATGAACTCATTACATTATTTATTTAATTGAAGAGTTTGAGAGAAGTAAAAGGTATATATTATATAATCTCTGTGATGAATAATCCTTTAGCAATGTCCACGTGAAACAAATTTAAACGATTTTGCGCTTTAATTTTCTCACGAATCCGTCACTATTTTATTTATTTTTACGATGCACCGATCGAAAGAGAAAACGTTCGTTGTTTCTGCTGCTCGAATTGGGAACACATGTGGCAAATCGTATTTCGCACGATTCAAAGCAAAGCACGAGGGCTTGACCTACCTACCTTTTATCGACAATCCTATTCTTGATCCTTACGTCCGTACTATTTCCGTCGCCCGGAAAAAGCGCAAGAAGCATCACACCTGCGGCAAATGAAAGAAAATTGTCTAGGATCAAGAAACAGTCGGCAGACGTCAAGAATTTCGCGTCGTGGTAAATACGTGATCGAGAATAAATCTTGTATGCTTGTAACTTTTCTAAAAGAAGAAATACTTGTGGAAAATGTCACGAACATGTGCTTATATAAAAAATGGAAAACGCAAAAAGGAAGAATATAATTTATTTTTTTTCTTTATATCTGAATTTTCTTTATATTAAAATTTAGCTATTAATCAATTTCACATGCGGGAATTGTAATAAATATTACAAGATAATTATTAATTTTTGATTTTGTGAATATAAAGCAGAAAAAACGTGTAATAATGATTTCAATAATCCATTAATTACCTATATTATTGCGAATCGAATACGACTAAATAAAGATTAATTTTCATCGTTTTAAAAACACTCTCCTTAAATTAAAATGTGACTTATTCACCGCCTTACCTGATCTATCGGACTCACTTTTAGCGTGCGACTGCGGACGAATTCCGGCGTGGCATGTCTGGAAGCTGCGGCAAGTCCTGACTTGGTCCAGACGAGGACAGTGCTTTCCGCCGTTCTTCTCCGAGATCTCGATCACCCGGCTGCGTCTTTGAGTGCCACTTCCGCATCCGTTATCGCACGGACTCCACGGACTCCATTCGCTCACCGCGCAATCCACCACTGTAAGGGTTGAATGAGCCTAGCGTTAAGATCTGGCCATCTGATCGTTTATCGCGGACGAAAGATAAAATTGTCCCGAAACTGCCACTGCTATCGACAAATCAATAGTAGAACATCCGGGAAATATCGTCTCATTCAAACTCTCTCTTTAGCTTCCATTCTCAAGTAATTAACTCTAACAATACACGACTATTATTATACGAGATATAATTCTCTAAAATACAATTACAATACAATACAGCGCGGGGATGTGTGTATGCTCCAATAGAAGGCAAAGGGTCAACCGCATTATTTTCCCGATATTTTATGCCGTCTATAAAAGGCAGCTCGCAGGAATAGCAATTTATGAACGTCCCTTCGAAACGTTCCGCCGTGCATTGTTCACGTCACTCTGCTACATCGCCTTTTCGAGAGTACGGGAGGCATTAAAAGAAGATAAAAATGCGATAAATGTGTCAGTAATCACTGATACGTATTAAAAAATACGTGGAGTACGCGCGATGAAAATTTATTCAATGTATCATTCCATTTTGCGTAGAACGCATCGAAAGAATCATTATCAAACTCATTTAAAAAACTGAAATGATCAATGTTTATAGAATTAACGGCCTTAATTAAGTGTTTCTGATAAAATATCGAGCAGTAATTATTCCGCGTCAAATTTTTAATAGCTATCTAAAACGAGAGCTAGGCAATTAGCCCGGAATGATATTTAACCTTCTGTTGAACACAGAAAATTGGACAGCACAATTTATCCTAAGTTTCTAAAATATTTTCCTTTTATAATAGAACACCATTACGCAGTTTGAAAAGGCAATTAGGGAAAAGTATTCGAATAAATAAGATCTTGCTCTTTTATCTTCAGGATAAAGAAAAGAGATCTTTGAAGATTGCAAAGCGGAATGTATTATAAATAAGGTACATAATAAAAACATTAAAACAATGCATATCACGAAATCTCGAAATAAAATTAATGAAATTAAATTAAATTAAATATTTCGTATAACTTTGCATTCGCATTTACAGCAAATAATATATGTATAATTAAATGATGAATGCTAACGTATTAATATAATCACATTTTTTACGTACGCAAATTGATGTATATTAATATAATTATTAACATTTTCAATATTTTTCCCTATAACGTTTTCATTTTCATTTTCTCGCGTTTCCACCCACACACGTACACACACGCGCGCGCGCACACACACACCACACACAAAATTAGTGGTAATTTAAAAATTTATTATACGTGGGATCGGTTTTTAGTAGACACTCATAAATACAAGAGGAATATTTTATAGACTTATAGACAATAAACCGGTGTTACAACACACCAAGTTGCGAGATAAAATCCGAGCTGCAAAATTTTGCATTAGGTTGCCAGCAAGTGGCAAGTAAAACAAGATGTGTGTAATTACTTATTTATCGTTTCTCTTTTATAATTATTTAATGTTAGAGAGTCGAAGTCTATCTGGTCCGCCGAACCTCATCGTTACCAGAACACGGTTATATCGATCGATTGTGTATTCGCACTAAATTATTTTGCCTGTCCGTCGATCGACGGTTCGCTGAATACGAATGGTTGAATAACATACGCGATGTTGGAAGTTTATCGAACCAGACAGCGAGAGTATAATACGTCTGTGATCGTCTCTGATCCATCCAGATGATGTCATCTCAAACAGCGCGAAAAAGCCTACGCGAGAAATCTTAAAGATGTTTAAAGGAGGATAAGACGTCTTTAAGTTGTCTTTTAAGGGCATGGGATATATTATTGCTATCGCCGGGTATCGTCAAAATTTAACGCGTTATGCCATTCGCGTCAAACGGATGAGAAAGCTTTGTGTACACGATTTCTCTCTCCGAGCCATTTCGGATGATGAACTTTCGAAACTGTTGTCAAAATATCATTAAGCATAATAGAACGCTCAATGCAATTTTTTTTTCCATCTCTAGTTTATTGCAATTGTCTAAAATGTTTTTACATTACTTTCTTGAGAAACAAATTTAATACCATATTTTCTTGGCATGTTATCATAAAATAATGAAGAAGCTATAAATCCTTGTTAAAAACGAATTATAGAGAGTGAGAGAATACGCATAAATATTCTTTTTGAATGATTTCTTTTTACATTCCATTTGATATGAATGCATGTGCAATAAGTACATCTCTTAATTTGGTATAAAATCTGTAAACTCGCATCTCGTCTCAAGCTTACGCGATGAGAATAGAAGCAAGATTATCCCGCTTGTAAACGAACGGCCTTGTATTATTCGAAAAATTTCAGTCACAAGTATTGTACGTTACATTTTCAAGTCAGGAGGAACTTCTTCGGCAGGTAAGCGTGATAATCGCGTTCCGGCGCAACTTTGGCTTTGGCGAATATCGACGCTTCACAGAAGAAATCGGGGCATTAAGGATGAACATTCCAGACGGATGAAAAGCACATGCGGCGAGATGCAATAAAATCATTTTTATCATCGACAGACGCTGCCGTCTCTCTCCTTTGCAATTCTTCCATGATTGATCTACGATAAATTATAATGCGATTTTTATTTGGCGTTGTTATTGTAGTTTAGTGAATAACTGATACGTATGCTAATCGATTATTTGGCAATTAAACTGATAACGCATAGCCATGTTAAACGAATGGAAATGTGAATCGGGTAATATTAATCCTTTTGTATTTAACAGGCGCGTTATTCGGCGACCAATAAAAATGGAAACAATTTCAGACAACCGCGCCAATGTAGGATAGCTCGACTATTTATTATGCAAATATGGGCGACAAAATCGCAATAGCGTTTGTTGTTAACGACACAAACAATTACCAACGACGATTTCAAAAAATATCAAATAAATTACGTCAAAAAGAGAATATAATAAAATATCGCATTGAGTGTGTGAAGTAGAAAGAAAAATCTAAATTCTTTTTAATTTAATTATTCTAGTATTTAACGGAACAAAAAAATAAGCAAAAAGCCAGTATTCTGTCAAAAGATTTGAACTGTGTCGCAAGATATTGCAAAGAACAAAAAACTTGAGTAAATGTCATTATCTCAGTATTATCTCAAATCTGTAGAATATGACCATGAAGATTCGATCTATAAATTACAAATTACAGAATATAAGTTTGCAAAGATATTCTTCTCTTTTATACTTTATCAAAGCCGACCCTCTAGGCAGAGCGTTATCAGCTTTACTTAGACAATACAGCGGTAATAATTCTTCCAATCTCTGTATAAAGAATGATTCCTTATGGATCATTTCTTCTAAACATAAAACGTACACATATGTACAGATTTATATAGACATATATTTTTTTTTATTTATTTTTGGTATTCGATTTTTTGTGAATTATTTTTTTAAAAACATTTTAATTAATTTTAGTAGACAAATGACTTTTACAAAGATACAATTTCCTTAATATTTCTTATCAGATTTTACGATACTTTATACATTGATAACTTTATACGATATACATGATAGAGTATCAAACGATATGCTTGAAACACTTTATCATACGAGAATAAGTCGATTTCTGTTAAATACATTATATCCATATATCAAACTGATAGTTGCTCGATACTTGATTAAATTTTTGCGGACGTACATTATTGTAGATATTTGTTGAAACGTAACATCAGCATTTTTTAGCCATTGATTTGATCAAAAATTGAAAGTAGATATTGGTTTTAAAGTGTTATAGAATAAAAAAAAATGAATCACATATCACTCGCCATTTAGTTGATATATTGATATGAAGAGAATGAAAAAAAAAACTATCTAATAATAAAAAAAACTTACATGTGTGTGAATAAGATTTTCCACCAGCAAAACTCTTTTTTTTTAGATGAATATCACTAATATTAATTAAAAACTTAATAGCAGATTGTAAATTACTAAGGAGTAATTCGAAGTGACCATACCGAAACCCTACAATATGCAAGATATAGTACATCTATAAGATCAAAGTATAATCCTATAAAATCCGTAATGTCTAAGGATGTACTTAACACGAATTGATCTATTAGTAAAAACGGACTATGTTCAATTAATCCATATTCTCTATGTTATCACCTTTTAACTGATTATTTCTTCGACATTTTCACACTTGATTAATTAATATATCGATACCTTTTATTCCACGTGTTCTGATTTTATATCAAGTTTCACTACAAATAATTATTAAGATTTTGTAATTGACAGACTAGGCATTGAATTATTTGACTCGAGCTATAAACTTACTTATTCTAATAATAAGCACATATATTAACAGTAACAACAATATATATTACAAAATTTTCTTATATGTGCATTCGATTATTTTATAAAGATGTTTAACATATAAATGAGCATTCTATTTCTCGCAAAGAATATAACGTGTTTAGAGTGTCAGTTTTTACTTTAGATAGATAAAAAAAATTAAATTAAACTAAAAATTTGAGTTTTTGTAATCAGGTTTATTACTCATAAAATTATAGTTTGGTTATTTCCCAATAATTTATTACAAAAATAGAATGCAATATCTTTTTTTATAATGAATCATGCAATGATCACACAAATCTTTTTTTCAGGAAGAAGACTCATTTATCTCTTTCCGTGCAAAGATCGTTAGGCACATACCACCGCAGGTTTCCTTGAAGTCGTCGCAACAATCGGCGAGCTTGAGACAGGCATGATCGCAGTAACACGGCTTATCGCGCGGGCTCTCGATAATCGCGTTCGGTGATTCTTTCTGAATGACGCAGCCGGAGTCCCTGCCTTGGCAGCAGAGCTTCGCGGATCTGCAGCTTCCGGCGATGGTTTCGTCAACAATCAGAGAAATCAGCGTGGCGACGATGACAATCGACCCGGCCAACGTCGCGTCCTTCCTCCACATTCTCCTCGCGATACCGCGACCCTGACGACCTTGCTCTCACTGCCACTAGCCACCACAACGACCTTGAGCGGTTTCTTAGTGGACGTGGAAACGCACCGCACGTGACCGTGACTTTTGCTCGATCCACTTTACAGCGCGCGATCGATCGTCGACATATCGATCTATCTGCCTTGCGCTTCCTAGATATCACGCCTAATCTCTCGGAGAGAATGTTCTTCCGGTTTTAATAGAATTCATGTTCAAGATTGCGACCAGAATAACTGGTTATTAACTAGAATCGCGCAGCTCTTCGCAAAAGCATAGAGGTTCATAGAGTTAATTTTTTTACATCACGAAATTTTCAATAAAATATAATTACCGCTTGATATGCGAAGAACCTTCAATATCTTGTTTTTTTTTTTTTGGAGATATGTTTTACTAATTAATTAATTAAAATCTCTATCTCTTAAGCTAACATATATATACTATTTCTAGACGCGCCAAGAGAGAAAGTAAAAATAAGGAATGCCTACGAACACTTTGTGACACGCATCAATTTGGATTTTCGCGGACGCGTCGACACTACGGAAACAACCGACCCTTCGATGGACTGTGTCGCGATCAAACTGAGCGTTTCAACCCCACGAGCACGAGAAGAACATAACTAGGCGCGCACTATGTTGCGCCTTGTGCCGACTCGTCGTCCTTGCTTTTCGTACTCGGCGCACCTCCCACGGGAACCGCAGCAGCCGGCATCTACCTGGGCGCATGCCCGTTTCTATCCTCTCACGGAATACCAGACGATTTAGTGGCTGCAGCTTTTAATGGAATTTAAAGGGCAACAATTCGTACCGTATATATAACGGTAACGTATCTTTTGGGGCATCCCCAAAGCCATTGGATGTCTTGTTATTTTACAAGTTCGATAGGAGAAGAGGTATGTTTTTAGCGATAATGTTAAATGAGAACATATTTATTGTTCTGCAATTTATTAATTTTAAATGTAGAATTGTATCAGAAATAGCTAGCAAGTGTCAATCTGTCGGCTCTATGTATAGATTCTTTGATCAGTTTAAATATAATTTCGAGAAGATAATCTGTATACGATACCTGATGCTCTATCATTATCGACTTGTCATATAATAAATAAATCAATCATTCGTTATTCCTTCGTTTAGATGCAAAATTTTACAAAATTAAAAGATGAACATTTTTCCACGCCGAAAAACTATTTTAAAGTATATTTCCATTTTACATTAAGATGTTATATAATTTATCTTGAAAGCTACGTCGCGCATTATATGCAAAAAATTATGTTAAATATTGATTACTTATATCTATTCATGATTATTTATGACTTATATCATTCTACTATAACTATATAAATGTCAGTTATTATTCGCTGTCACGGAATTTCTTGCTTACATATGACAAATAATCTAACATTGCACAAGACATTTTTAAAAAGTAGAGTAAAATACATGTATATATGTACTAATATATTCCGTTGAGAGAGATGTATCAATACATTATCATAATTACGCATCATAACTTTAGTAAAATGATACAACACGATCAACCAAAAAAAATATTTTTTCTGCGTACAAGAGAGCAAAAGCGGAAAAAAATCTCTAACGATAAGTTTAATCAATATTACGAGAGACTTTTAATCCACTTTATAGTTTGCTTTGTAGAAGAAACTATTGTCGATTAAACCTGAAAAATTTTTGTGTTTTTGTTATCTTAGACCGGGATAGCGCGAACGCAGTTCCCGACTATCAAAAATTGTACGCCCGAGATATCCACATTAGGGATATTCGCAAGGGTCAGCTCAACCGTAGTGCAATGGGAGAGCCTTGCCCTGGAGGAACCGCCTTCTTGATCACGGTAACCTCTGCGCCAGGTAAGTATGCTTTCGTTCGTGACGAACCCCAATTTATCCCCATTGAGATGGCATTTTAAACACGAGTAATCGATTCATCGCCTGCGAAGCCTAGCGATGAGTTCATGAACTATGCGCATGAGAGAGAGATATATATATATAT